TAAATATTTTTTTTCTTAATTTTGATTGGTTAAACCATTCAAGAGTAAAATTTTCCATTAGGCCTACGGAAGCAATAATAACCATAAAAGGTGACGCTTTATTTGTTCAAAAGATAAGGTTTTCCCCCGAATCAACAATAGTTGCTTGAGAGCTGGCCCGCCCGTGAGCGATTTTAGTCACCTTGCGCGCGCTCAGTGGAGTGAGAGAGGGAGACTAGTTTTGTCGCCTGGAGCGCTCAGTGACAGGGGGGCCAGATATTCTGCATATCGCGGAAACCTTTCAAGATGGTGACCCAGTGGTCAGGAAGTCGTCTACTAGAAAGTAGATTCTGTATCTCGGGAAAAAGTGGGCTGTCTCAAGAGACAGAATGTATAACTGGGCTGTCTCAAGGAGATGGAATGGTCAACTGTCTCAAGGAGATAGAATGGTCAACTGTTTCAAGGAGATGGAATGGTCAACTGTTTCAAGGAGATGGAATGGTCTACTGTCTCAAGGAGATAGAATGGTCAACAGGGCTGTCTCAAGAGATAGAATGGTCAACTGGGCAGAAAGACGTCCTACCACAGGGTTCAGTGATCTGAGCGCAGACTTGGGGTTTATTTTCGTGTGTGACCTCTGGAGTTTTGTTTTTCCTTGCGCAGGTTCCGTCCGGTGAATGTGAAAGAAATGCTGCATACTGTGCTGGGGGAGAAGTTGACGGGGAAGACGTACAGCTCCGAGGACACGACGGCCTGGACCAAGGAGATCTCCGAGACCATCAGGGACCGGTTGAAAGGTCAGCCAAGTGTTGTCTGGTCCAGCGGGAAACTCTTTAGGAAACATTTGAGACGGCACACGTCGGTTTTTTGTTCATGTATAACAAAGGGTGCAGTATTTTGGGGGGTTATTCCTTAATCCCTGATTTTTCCTCCATATCTCTTTGTAAATGTACGTCAGCCCCAACGAGGTTGCAAACAGACCGAAATCGCTTTCAACGAGGTCGCGATAACCAAATAAAAGCATTTAGCGGCCCCAAAAGCGAAGAATTTTTCTCCTTTGTCTCCCATCTCTGCGAAGCTTAAGGCCCCATCCTCGATTCCTAACATATTGTATTGCTAGATCTAGTGTACCTCCTAATAATGGCCCCAAAGCCGAGAGGATGGACGAGGGTTAGCCTACAGTAGAGATGGGAGGGGGTGGGTGGGAACACAATGCGGGCTGTGTGAAATTGGATTAACTCTGGAACGAGTAGGTCTAGATCAAGACCTTTATTTTTTTTCCAATTTTCTTTTCTTCCCTGATCAGAAAATCCAAGCTCCTGCCTTTACTTTTACAGTGGAATCCTGTTATAACGAGAGGGAGGGACCGGTGCGAAATGTCCATTATAGCAGGATTCTCGTTATAAGGGATCCAGTAATAAATTCAAGGGAAATAGTAAAATAGGCCTAATCTATGAGTTTGGTGTTCTGTTTATTCCTTATTGTATTTCCCCTGATGATGATTTTGTTCAACATAATCTCTAGGTCTTACTTGATCTAAATTCGAATCAGGTTTCTTTCTCTAGCACTAGCAATGTTGACAGCTCGGCGTTGGCGATCAGAGAGAAGGGGCTCTGGCTCTAGGCTAACTCGCCCTCTGTGTTGTCCCCCACCCCACCACACCCTGTGCTACGTTGTGTCTGCTTGCGCACGTCACACATTCGCTCCATCTATCACAGCATTGTGACCTCTCCATCCCGCACCAGAAAAGTGAGAGGCACAGTATGCCTAGATAATCTAGACTGGGCTGGCCTATCATGCGATGCGTTCTGCTTGTCTGCGCATTCCACACCCTCCCCACTCATTCGCTCCGGCCTTCATTGTTGGTTTGCGTTGGCTCTCCCATTCTTTGTTTCGCTGGATCACCAACAACTTTCTCTACTGGCGAGGTTATATGTTTAATTTGTCTGTGCGCTGTGCACAGCAGCAGCAATATTCCGTTATAACCAACTCACGTGACTGTCTGATTGCGCAATAGCAGTATTTTATTTAAAAAGATAAAGGAGGGGGGGAAAAATGGGGTTTTAGAATAGTGGCTTTATAACGGACTTCTCGTTGTTTCAGGACTTGTTATAAGTGGACTCCACTGTAGTAGATCTAGGCCTAGATGTGAGAGAAGTGTTCTGGAAAAAAAATTTTTAACAATGCAGAAATGACGGCGAGAACACTGCTCAAACACGTGCACACTGATGTTGTTTGAAAATTTCGTCATCAGGGGGAACAACTGTTTAAATTACTGGTATTGGTACATTGTTTAATATAATTACTTGTCTCCTTTCTTTTCTTTAGCCTTGGTCACATTCAACGAGAAGTCGGATCCAACGAGGACAACAAGCCGGTCCCGGCAACCTCGATGAATGCGACAGCCACTGTATTGTAATTGTTTAGTCCACAAAACTTGGAAGAAATAGATGAAGAAAATTGGATGATGTGTCCGGAGTGATCCACAGATGGATTTTTTTTGGGGGGGGGCACTCAATACACACACATGCAGTCATGGTTGAGTTCTTCCCTGAGTCCCTCAGTCATCACTAAGTCATTGACCGAGTCGTAGCCAAGTCCTTGAGTTGTCACCAAGTCCTTGACCGAGTCATAGCCGAGTCCGTCAGTCGTCACTAAGTCGTTGACCGAGTCATAGCCGAGTCCTTGAGTCGTCAGCAAGTTGTTGACCAAGTCAAAGTCAAGTCCTTGAGTTGTCGCTATGTCAGTGACTGAGTCATTGCCGAGTCCCTTAGTCGTCACTAAGTCATTGACCAAGTCATAGCCGAGTCCTTGAGTCATCACCAAGTCGTTGACCGAGTCATAGCAGAGTCCTTGAGTAATCAAAAAGTCGTGGACCGAGTCATATCAGAGTCCTTGAGTCGTCAGCGAGTCGTTGACCGATGGTTTCTTCTCTCCCCAGACATGGGCCACGACAGGTACAAGTTTGTCGTACAGGTCGTGATCGGGGAGCAGCGGGGGGAGGGCGTCAAGTAAGTCCAAACTAGTGGTGTGTGTCTTGTCAAGTAACAAACTTGTGGTGCGTGTCTTGTCAAGTAACAAACTTGTGGTGTGTGTCTTGTCAAGCAATAAACTTGTGGTGCGTGTCTTGTCAAGTAACAAACTTGTGGTGTGTGTCTTGTCAAGCAATAAACTTGTGGTGCGTGTCTTGTCAAGTAACAAACTTGTGGTGTGTCTTGTCAAGTAAGTCCAAACTTGTGGTGTGTGTCTTGTCAAGTAATAAACTTGTGGTGTGTGTCTTGTCAAGTAAGTCCAAACTTGTGGTGTGTGTCTTGTCAAGTAATAAACTTGTGGTGTGTGTCTTGCCAAGTAAGTCCAAACTTGTGGTGTGTCTTGTCAAGTAACAAACTTGTGGTGTGTCTTGTCAAGTAAGTCCAAACTTGTGGTGTGTGTCTTGTCAAGTAATAAACTTGTGGTGTGTGTCTTGTCAAGTAAGTCCAAACTTGTGGTGTGTGTCTTGTCAAGTAAGTCCAAACTTGTGGTGCATGTCTTGTCAAGTAACAAAGTTGTGGTGTGTGTCTTGTCAAGTAATAAACTTGTGGTGTGTGTCTTGCCAAGTAAGTCCAAACTTGTGGTGTGTCTTGTCAAGTAACAAACTTGTGGTGTGTCTTGTCAAGTAAGTCCAAACTTGTGGTATGTCTTGTCAGTCCGCCAATAGAATTAACATTTGACATATTCCAGCAGTGTAGCTTATCTATAGGTGTACATGTGGGGGGACCATCTACATGTGTACAGG